GTTCACAGTCCGGAAGATTTTTAGAAAAGAAACCTTTTAAACTCCAATCAGATACTATATTACCTGAGTTTGTTATTCTGCTGGGAAGCTTATGCAACTCGGCTACGCTGTGTAGTGTATGATCTATCACTGACTGATAAGCAAATTGCTCGAATTAAATTGAATTTATGTATATATTTACGTGTTTATTTTTTACAAATGTGTATATAGGTATATTTAATTAATCATTTCTGTATATATATATATATATATATATATATATATATATATATATATATATATATATATATATACATATGCACACACACACACACACATATATATATATATATATATATATATATATATATATATATATATATATCTAAGTATATTTATATGTTCATAAGTACAACAATAGCTTGAAGTAATGAAACTAAACTCAATCCAACTTTAAATCCAGACTCGTCAAGAACTTCTAGAAATTTTTTAAAGTATTTTATCTGTACTATGTTCAAACCAGATACTACAGTGTATTTCATATGTAATCTGATCGAACGAGTGTTCATTTATACATTGAAAAAATGCGAGTATGTAAGTGTCTAAGTTTGTATAATTTTTCTTCATCTCAATTTCGGGTTTACGCCTGTATGGGTTTATTTATTTTTGTTCAAATGAAAACACTAGAAGTGAACTTGATATAAGACCTTTTTTGTCAGCAAAAGTGTTGTTTGTGTCACCTCAACATAAATTTTAAATGTGCAAAAATATCTCTCATTCATAAATAAGTGCATCATTTTTTTTTGTTTTTGATAAACGATGATGTGTATGAGTATTTTCAAGATAAAAATTGTTATTTGTTTTTGTGTTTGAGTTTTTGATAAGGAACGCCTATAAAAGATTCCTACTCTCAGTTGATAATCTTGAAACGCTTTGATTTTACTGCTGTTGTCACCATCATTTTTGTTTTAAATGCATCTAAACAAGACTAGAACTTTTAGTCATGACCTTTATTAGCAGGTTTTTAACTTTTTCAGTTTTCTTCAGTTTTATTCATATTTGATAAATCACATGATTGCACAATTCGCTCAAAGTGCAGATGTTAAGCTGCTATTATTACCTAAATGCAATCATTGTTCGTGAAGTGTTGGCACATATAATTCCAATACAGTTTATACACAGTTATCTATCTATCAAAGTTATATTTTTTAAAAATCATTTGATAATCCGTGAATTATTCTGTTTCAATCTTGTCCCAGCCTCATTCGGTAAAAGAACCTTTTTAATTCCTGGGGTGATAGTTAAACCGTACCGACTACACCAGCCAGAGGTTTCCCTGAGGAGCAGAGCGAAGAGAAACGCCTCTGGCTGGTGTAGTCAGTATGGCTTAACCATCACCCCTGCATTTAAAAAAGTTCTTTTACCGAATGAGGCTAGGACAAGATTGAAACAGAAAATTTACGGATTGTCAAGTGATTTTAAAAAAAAATATAACTTTGATAGATAGATAACTGTGTATAAATTGTATTGAAATTCTATGTGCCAACACTTCACGAACAATGATTGCATTTAAGTGATAACAGCAGCCTAACATAGGCACTTTGGGCGAATTGTGCAATCATCTGATTCATTAAATATCAACATAACTGAAGAAAACTGAAAAAGATTAAAACCTGCTAAAAAAGGTCATGTTTAAATGTTCTAGCCTTGTTTGGGAGATGAAATTTAAACAAAAATGATGGTGACAACAGCAGCAGTAAAATTAACGTTTTGCAAGATTATCATCAGAGAGTAAAAATCTTTGATAGGCGTTCCTAAACAAAAACAATTATAAGCAATTTTTTTTGAAAGTGTTTATGCACAGCATCGTTTTTCTAAAATGAAAAAAAAATAGATGCACTTATTGATGAATAAGACATGTTTTGCTCTCTTAATATTTATGTTGAGGTGACACGAACAGAAATATTGCTGACAAAAAAAGGAATTATATCAAGTTCACTTCGAGTTTTTTCTTTTGAACAAAGAAAAATAAACCCATACAAGCATAAATCTAAAATTGAGATGAGGAAAAGTCATACAAACTTAGACATTTACTTACTCGCATTTTATGTGTATAAATGAACACTCGTTTGTTCAAATTACATATGAAATATCTAATGAGCATTATTTAAAAACTTGAAACAAAAAACTCAATGATTTTATATATTAGATGTATTTCTAATTAGAGTTGCACGTATAAGATTAGTTCGAGTAAGAATTGAATGAGTACTTTTGTAAAAACTTGTCGCTCATTATAGGTCTATATAGCCATAGAAATATATTTTAATGTAGTATCTGGTACATTTTTATTATGCGGTGAATTATTCAGAAAACAACAGCAAAAAAATATGAGTTGAATTGTTTTTCTACTTAAAACCGCATTTCTGAGGGCATAATTTTGATCATTTAAGTGAAATTATATATATGCATAATTATATATACAAACGTATAATACCAAAAGAATATAGAGAAGACATTAGTCATGCTGGCATATTCAAAAAA